GGTTTTAAACTGAACACATGAGACGTCCTGGTTTTAAACTGAGACGTACTGGTTTTAAACTGAACACATGAGACGTACTGGTTTTAAACTGAACACATGAGACGTCCTGGTTTTAAACTGAACACATGAGACGTCCTTGTTTTAAACTGAACACATGAGACGTCCTTGTTTTAAACTGCCCGTGGGAAGAATGAACATTTAAGAGTCTGTTCATTCTTGGTTAAAGGCTCTGGTCTCTTTGGTCTCTCTGTCCACTTTTCTCTTTTTGGAGAACGTCATGTGAAATAACTTCTCTGACTCACGTATTTCTTCGACTGTTGGCTCTCTCTCCATCTCTCCTGTGTTTGTCTAAATCTCACTGGAGTTGCGGTGCTTATCAGAATTGGCTGTGCAGCATCACATGAGATGATATAAAACGCAGGTTATTGATCGGTGTGTTTCCTGGACCGGTGAACAAGTACTATAAAGGCTGTGCCGGATATAAAACACTGTAATCAACAGTAAATCAGTAATCAGCCCTTACCCAACATTCCTTTCTCTGCGTTGGAGAGACACAGATCCTTCTCTGCAGATGGAAGAACAAATGCTACCACAAAACATTCCACTCCATCAGCCATCAGAGCCAGGCCCAGCACCATGAACAGCGTCCACTGGAACTTCCCATGGCCACAGTCCTCCATGATGTCCTCGTATTGCTCAGATAACTCTTCTAGTTCAGAGACTGCACTGCCGGCTGATCGAGCTTTAGCCCTGGGACACAGAAAGAGATGGAAAATAAAAAGTCATACAGATGGCAAGAAAATGTGTCTGTGTTTATTAATCAGATTCCTTTTAAATGTCTCTAGTAGAAAGATGTGGGTTTCTGGTGATGTTAGTCAGATCAAGTGATCAAGCCCTTAACAGGAAGATCACTGTGTTGTGTTTGCTCTGAAGAATCACATACTGAGACTCTAACCATTGGACCAGGACGGGTTCTCTAGTTCAAGCAGCATGTCTTCACCTCATCGTGAGCTTTCCCAGATGCTCTCTCTGTTTTCAAACAGGCTTGATTTTTTCATTGCCAAAAACTAGATGCACTTTTAGCTAGGGCACCTTGGCTTGCCTGGATCCAGCAGGTGTCTCAGTAGAGCAGTGAGGTACTATAAATGGACTGCAAGAGTTCAGGTGCAGCCTGTAGTGATATTACAATTGTTTGAATGTCCCCGTCATCTGTTTACTTTTACAAAGAACATTTCATCTTCTTTCATCAACTCAGTCCAAAACGAGAATCGGTTCCAAATTAGTAAAATACCCCAATATCGTTAACGGTTCTGCTGTAGGTTACTGTAACAGTTACGGAGTGAGAACTCAGCGTCATAAACCTCCTCTCTCTGTCTCTGTGTCTTCATGTAGTTTTTACTTTTCCAGAGTGAATACACTACATATTCAAAACCTCCTTAGAATTGGTACATCTGCAGCTAAACTGTTGCACATTTTCTGGTACATTTACACAAGAACAACAAGAACAGATATGCTCACCGTGCAGCTCTTTGTGCAGCCTTCTCCTCGTCAGGATGCGGGATACCTTGATATTCTCCCTCGTACGTCTGATCCTCTTCATCATGTCCTTCGGTGACGTCGCTCGCTGCATCCTCTTCCTGGGGAGGGAAGTCTTCCCGGTAACCATATCCATCATGGCCACCACCATCTCCATAAGACCCATAGCTGTCCCCCCCTCCTTGGTGGTGAATGTTGTTCTGATAGGGGTCCGCCATCTAGGCTTGCTAGGCGAACAGCTAATTTCACAGCAAGTTTGGACTTTTTTTGGCTTAATAGTGATGTCTACTCTGGTGTTAAATTTCAGAAATAAGTGATTGAGATAAACTTGATTTTGATCTTTAGTTAAACATGTTGAGTCATTTGGCCTAAAAATGCTTCACATTTAGTCATTGGTCTCAGTGACTGTGCTCCTTTTACTGGCTTTTAAAGCTGATAGTAAATAATGGTGTTCACTAACTCATCCACTTTGCTGGCTATTATATAGATATTCTGAACTTAAATTAGCTGAAGATGGAATGTATCTGTGTAGTAATGTGTGTCCGTCTCAGCTCCTGGTTTTAGTTTCTGTAGTGGTGTCAAATCGATTCTTCAATTTTCATTCCTGAAAACAGAAAAACTCAAGATGAATGTCTTCATTGCAAATTGTAGCATACACGTGGACACCTGCAATATTGTCTACATTCACAAAGATGGTTAGGGGGAAATTTGCCAACCTGGCAAGCCAAGTATATCTCTTACAACAAGTAGTTAAATGTGTATTTGTTTTAACAGTGTGGGGGGGAGACAGTAACATGGAGTAAACATGGACTCCTGTTATAGCCCTTCTGGTCTTTATGAATTGTCAATTAGTTATTGACCTCATAAAGATGATCCTGTGAGTCCACTATCCCTATGGTTAATTTACGGTTCTGACTTCTGACTTTAATGTTTCAGCTGATTGAATGTTTCAGCTGTCTTTAGTCTGATAGATATGGATTAGAAGGACTCTGGTACACCTACTAGTAGTTCAGAAGGCCATTATCATCTTTTCACATGGTTGATCACCAATAGGAATACAAGAAGACGACAACGACCAACAAAAAAAACAGGACTCACCCAAGGAACCACTGTGAGTTGAGTTGATTTCATTTAACGTCATTTTGTTACGTGCTTTACCTACTTCAGGAACGTCAAGTCAAGTAACAAGCAGTACACAATAAGTACTGAAATGCTTATTTTAATCAAAACCACAATCTTTTGCCAAACCTGACCAAGTGGTTTTGGTGCCAAAACCCAAAGTGATATTGTTTCAATTCACAACATTCATTTTTATGTTCACAATGTGACAGGTAGAGTTTGGAAATATAATTCCTTGATAACCAGTAACGCCCATTTAAATGGCTGATAACTTATACAATGAGTACTGGCAGTGCTTTCCTGGCACACCGATCCACAATCCTAACTAACTAAATCATGTAATACCAAAAAAGAAAAAAATAGCCAAACACATAATTCAATAATCATCTACAACTTAATACCACTAGCGGTTGATGATCTGGGGTTGTGGTTGGCGACACTGGGTGAGGATTGGGTGTAACGGACAATCTGTGGACGTTTGAATTGATGTACAATATTTTTTATGGAACTATATGAACTGTTTTCAATGCATTTGCCTCCAACACACCTTTTGATTTGCAGTGTAAACTGTGGAATAATTCATTATAATGACACGTTTCACTGTGGTTATGTTGCAACAGTCTGAAGCTTGTGGATGTGTCGTGTGGAACCATGTTTTGACAGAGATGAAGGACTGCAGATGACGATAAGTGGCCGTGAAGCCACTTCACGGCCACAGTCACCAGCTTAAATGAAAGGCTGTAGGTCCAGGCTACAAACTCTGGTTCACTAATCTTCATTTTGCCTCACTGCCATTCATGCTGTAATAGAAATACCTTTTTTTTCACGTCAGCTAGCTGAAAAAACTGGAATAAAAGTGGAAAACAAGAAAGATCTAAAAGGGTTTTGTTTGATTTCAGAGAATTTATGTAAGAGAGTGACCAAACTTCTAAGGATTGCTATTGCTCTGACCGGTCGATCTGTTCTGAGCATGCGGGTGGCCGGCCATGTGAGACACATTCATTCTTGGCACGAGGACATTTTGGGAAATGAAGCTCAAGCGCAAGTTCAGTTAGGAAGACACTCACTCATAAGCTGTGTCTCAATTCAGGGGCTGCATCCTTCGGAGGCTGCATTCGTAGACCGGTTGCATCACAGCGCTGCGACTAGGCTGTCCCATTTCGCATGTTTGCTGAAGACTCCTTCAATGCAGCCGACGAATGCAGCCTTCTGGTCCCAGATTTGGAGGACACATCTGATGTATCCTTCGCGGCCCAGCATATCCCAAGATGCATTGCGTGCCGGTGCACTATTACCGGCAGCTCGGCTGCCTGCATCCAACCGTAGTTAGACTTGTAAAGTAACTTTTAATAACTTCACTTTCAAACCTCAGAGGTTGAATAATATCTTACTGAGTTTGTGATGATTTTACAGATGATTTATACTTCATATTATGTACATAAACGGACCAACGTGAGCTCAGGTAGACAGGTTGTGAACCTGAAATATCACTTTAAATCCAGTAACGTTTCAAACGTTGAAATTAACTACATGGATACACTGAATTTGAGTATTTTGCTGATTGTGTTCTTGTTTTGTTACAGAGAGCCAGGAGCTGAGGAGAGAACGATGGACAAACATTCAGCAACCGTGGCATGAATTAAGACATTAGTCCATTTGTAATATCTCCATTTGACCATCCTGTACTTAAGGTTACAGTTACATGAGCTCTCATCCTGTACAAAGCCTTCACTAATAAGACAACCAGTAGATCCTTCTCATGTGTTCATGTTGCTGTCACAGAGATGACAGTTGTGATGTCACCTTTATATTTTATTTATTTAAATTGACATAAGACGTCCATGTAAATGATTTCTATGTGAATATGTGTATATTCTGCTGTGTAAAAATTGTCAATCTTCTAAATTTGCATCCCTGTGTGAACATTATTGATAAATGTTTCTTTTTTCATTTAAAAAATATAAAGTTAATAAATGTTAATAAACACGTTTGCTGACATTTGTTTTCCAAATATATATATATATATATGTACATGTAAATATATATGTATGTGTGAATGAAATGAAATAAAGTTATTGATAAATGAATTTAATTACAAGAACTATAACTGATTGAAAATTAGTTATTCGTAACTGATTTAATTAACTGATTATTAATATAGAAAAACAATATTATGAAAAAGATCTATGAATTAATTATTGAATATATGATAAAAAAACCTAATTAAAACACTAAACTAAAACCTTTCCAGTATATATACTGAATAGGTTTTAGTTTAATGTATTTATATGTATATATATTTATAATCCTGTTGAGCAGGGATTTTAGGGACGGGAGCAGCAAGAGGGGGCGGGGCGAGAACAGCTGTTGACGCAAACAGGAAGTCCTCCATGGCGTAGGCCGTCTCATTTCGTAGACCACATGGTCTAGCCTACGCGGTCCTCAAAGGACGCGGCCCACGTAGACCGCGAAGGCTGGGTCCTCCGAAGGATGCAGCCCCTGAATTGAGACACAGCTTTAATCTCTGTCTCTCCTCTCCTTGTAATTATCAGCTGATTGGGGGCGTGCACTTTTAAGTAACCAACCAGATTCTGCACAGTTTCCTAAAGCCAATCATATCGTTGCTGTCAAATTTTAAATAGTGTTCTCCTCTCTGCTGCTGACAGTTGTCATTTCAGCGTTAAGCAGATGCGAAGCGATACAATTTCCCTTACCCGTTTAAACATCTAGTTGTGGGTAACTGAGACAATGACGGATTCCGACTTTGATCGTTTCAGGAAGAGTCAGGTCTCAACATGGATGTTTATTCAGAGCCGGCATTCAGCCCACCAGGTGGCCGGCGCAGGAGCACTCGCCCAGCGCGGCTCAGCGGCTCCCCTCAGATGAGCAAGAAGCCCTCTTGGCTCAGCTAGAAGTTCGCAGTGGTATCCTAGTAAGTCTAACAGTTACTCACGATAAGTCCATCGCCGGTGGTCGCACTGGAAGAATCAGGCTCATCGCGAGCTCCGCAGGCGGAGTCGCGTCCCGTACTCTTTCTCCACCAGCAACTCCTGGCCTCCAATGCAGACAACGCCGTCATCTCCACTGGGTAGCTTCATCCACTCCATCGATACTGGTTTTCAATCTCTGGTAAACGCTGCTGCTTCTACTATATTATTAACATCGGCGCCACCAGGACTCCATGCGGCAACCAGTCGCCATGTTAAATCAGCTCCACAGGACAGTTCTGGCTCCTCGGTGCCTATTCATTTCTCCACTAGTCTTACCCCAGGTAACGTTCCTTTATCTAAAACGTGGTTAACTAGCATTTCGAGGTTATCCTCACCAGAATCAACTTATCACCTCAGCTATACTCGGGGCACTCTTTTAGGATAGAGCTGCTACTTCGGCAGCTAACATAGGCATCTCCGCTATAACCCTATAAATGGGACATTGGTCATCCTGCCTTCACATCCTACATCCGCCCCGACCTCAACATCATACTCAAAAATGAAAGATCATTGAAGCCTTAAAATTCAGTAAGGCATGCATATAACTGGTGGTGTCATGTTCACATCTGTTCTTGCATTATTGGTAGGTCCCGTTATTTTTGTCTCACAGCAGGGGATAGCATTACATCATTCTTGAAATGTTCCTTATAATAACACTAAAGGTATTTATCGCATTCTATTGTGCAAATGGTTATCCTCTCATCACGGTATAATACTGTGCCCTCCCGGCTCTGCGTTCACCGTACTCTATGTCTCTGGTCTAACGTGACCATGTTCTCCAGTTTACTGGTCTAACGCTGTTTCTCAATCTCCTGGTCTCACGTGACCTGGCTTAACGTGTCTGTTTCCTGGTCTAACGTGACCGTTTTCCATTCCCTAAAAGAAAAGAAGGGTCTGAGGTGCCCTATTTCTAATTTCCTGGTCTGAGCGATGTGAGACCTGTCTAGTTGTGCTGAGGCAGTGAGACCCCCAACTATGCTGTTCTGCATTCTCACTTGAACCCTACTATTCTGTTCTGTTCCGGTCTAAACGTGACCCCCTACTATTCTGTTCTGTTCCGGTCTAAACGTGACCCCCTACTATTCTGTTCTGTGTACTAACATGACCCAACCTATCCTTGTCTGCGGTCTAGCTTGACCCTAACCTATCCTGTCCTGCGGTTGGACGAGACCCCTCTATATATTCCGGGATCTGTTGAAATCCTACCATACTTCACTATGGGCTATCTAGACCCGCACTATCCTGTTTCTGCGGTCTATCGAGACCCCGTATCCTAGTCTGCAGTCCATCGAGACATTCCTCTATCCTTTGACTAAACTCGACCTCTTACCTCTGGTCTAACATCTACTCATTCACGTTCTACCCTTACATTTTCTCTCATGACTAATTTTCTATTTTCTTAGGAAATTCACCACAGCAGTAGGAAAGGTATTTATTTATTTATTTATATAAAATAAATTTCTTTGGGGAATTAGGCCTATTGGACCTCAGTATC